TTGCACTATTACACATGGATCTAAAAATCATGCCTTATGGCATCTCTCCCCATTTTCTTTGCTGTTTTTACGTCAGTGTTAAATATTATAATCTCTTATGATTCTTTCACCCTCATCTATGCTAAACCATTTAAAAAAAAAAAAAAAATCTTACATGCACTTTGGACTGCACAGGTCCTGAGGATGGTTCTGTCTATCAACGTTTATTTGCCTGTGGGTTGTGATGGTGTATGTAATTGTATTTGTGGAGTGTACTCATGGCTGCACGTCTGTGACAATGAGTGTTTTCATTCAGCTGATAGAGCGCGCAGGCCGCGCAGCAGATGACGAAAAGGTGGAGCAGAAGATGGCTGAGAGCTGGGAGGAGTTGAGTTTGGTCTCTGCTTCCCCAACACTCATCAGGAAGGGCATAGAGGGTGTGGTGATGAAGCATGTCACCAAGGCAACCAAACAGCAGAAAGGTATTTGAGCGACTGAAAGTGGGCACACAAATACACAGAACGTATCCTGCGTGACACCTTCTGTTATTATATCACAGCTGTTCTCTTTTCACTCAGCTGATCTCTGCCAGCAGCCTCAGATGCTGGACGTGCAGACTAAACCGGAGTCAAAGTCCAAGAGGCTCCAGCTGTGCGCCCTGACTTTGCAGGTACACTCTGACACTTCACCTCTGAGCCCTTGAAGAGAGAGAATATGAAGTCTCAGCAACTGCTCTGTAGTTCCTCTGCTGCTGTTGGCTCATTTATGTATGCGCGTCCAGCATGTTTTGTTAAGTGCAGTGCTTAGGGGATACATATTTATTATGCACTATTAGGCTGACAGAGCCCCAAGAGCCCTGCCAATTCAAAAAACAGTGTGTGCTGGGCAAGCAGAAGATACAGAAGAAGTCAGACAAGCATGACATTGCTCTGAGGTATTGTGCATAACATCCACATAAGCAGAGAAATTAGTATAAGATAATAATTTCTTCAGTAAATGTTAGCAGTGCTTTTAAATGGTCAAATCAAGAGTTGCAGTATGAACTTTGGGAGTTTCCTTGCATGATGACTATAAATAGCAATAGATGTGTTAGAACAAAGTAGGGAGTATTAAAACTGATTTTAAATTATGTGAACTGTTCAGGAGCGTCTGCAGCAGTACTACCACACAAGGGCGGCGCTCTCTCCCCAGGAGGTGCAGAGGGCTCAGTCTGTGGCTCTGGACATCTGCACTGAGATCCAAGGTTTTCTGCACAGCCGTCACCCAGACATGCCTCTGGGTGATATGACACTCGGCGGTTCTCTGCTGGATGATTTGCAGGTATACACAACAGAAATATATTTCCCGCTGATGGGGAAATGAGCCTCTGATTTTGTCTAGCAACATCTTGGAATTGTTTTGTTATGTGCTGGTCTTTAGGTGGTCAGTGCAGACCATGCGTGCCTGCTGGTGCCTCTACAGCTGGAGTCTTCTCTGTGGCGTCTCATCCCAGGAGAGGAAACGTTGCTCACACATCCTCTGCACTGGATGGTCCGACGGATCAATCTAGAATATTTTCCCAAAGGACGCAGCTACTGGGACAGGTGATCACCACACATTTTTTTTATGTCTGTATTAAATCAAACACATGTGTAGCATATTAATATAGTGTATTGGCCTCCACTTTCCATTTTAGAAGCAAAATTAATAGAATTTGGGGGTTTTTGAGACGCTGTTAAATGGATGAAACAAGGGTCTCTACTTGTGTCTTGCAGGTATTTGGTGGGCGGCTATCTGTCTGCAGAAGCTGTTGTGAACATGTTCAGTAAGGCTGTCATGGAAACTGTGAACTGGCCGTCAATCAGCAGCACTTTGGACTGTGTCGTCAGACCTGTACTAGGAGGACCTGACCTGAGATTGGAGATCCGGTGTGTGCCCATGCTTAACTGCTGATTTGTTGAAAATTGTGTTGTTGTTTTTTAAATAGTAACATGTTGTATTTAATAGTTCACTGCTGACATTACTTAATTAATACAGTTTGATATTGTATGACGAAGCGCACACACCATTCTTGAAATGAGTCTCTGGATCTAGAAAGATGTATTAGTCCAGATTAGTTTGTGATATACGCTCAAAAGGTATAAATATTTATAAATATTTATATTTGATGCAAGATAGACCTAGCTTCACCCTCAGTATAATTTTCATTCAAACCTGAGTTTATGAGTAATCTAACCAACAAACATACTAACAAACTGAGTGATGGGTATAACTAAGAAAATAATAAACTCTACAGAAATGTCTGTTTGCATTGAACTGACACTCCTCTGTTGTCATGCTGCAGGCCTGGAAATGCAGTCGAAGGAGCAGAGAGCGACTATCAGCCCTTGTTTGTCTCTATGTTGCCTCTGTTGAGCGAGGGCGATGTGGTTTTGACCGCCCAGCCAGAGTTTACGTCTCCTTGGGTGAACGCCTGGCATCTCTCTCTCTACCCGTGGGAAACTCAACGTCTGGCTCAGCTTGATGCAGCCGACAACGGCTACCGCAAACACACCCTTAAAATACTCAAAGCGGTGTGCAGACAGAACCCTGCCCTGCGACCGCTCAAAGCCACCCCGCTGGCCAATCTCATCCTGCACCTTAGCGACTCCGAGAGCGACTGGTCCGAGACCAGCTTGGATGTAAGATTCCAACAATGTATCACAGAGCTAATTGGCTACCTCGAGCAAGGGGCGCTGCACAGTTACTTTAAACCAGCCGTCAATCTGCTGAGCGGCTTGTCAGAGGACCAGGTGGACCAGATGGGCTTCATGTTCTACTGTGCTGTGTCAGAGCCGGAAATACTGCTTATTTAACGCTGCACACCCACAGCATGTCAGTTCTCTCAAGCTCTGACATGCAGAGATCAAAGGAATAATCTTATCTGTGATGTCTGGTTCAAGGCTCCTTGTCTAGCGCCTCCATATTTGACACAAATGAAAAGGGCACAGTTGCTGTGGCATAATGGCAGGCACCATGGTTTGATGTCTACGCTGGTGGAGGAGACGTTACAAGGAGGCTGCAGATTTGCCAATCAGGCCAATCAAGGCACTCTGAGGAAAAGAGACAGGCAAAGAGTTGAAAAAATATTTGTCAGAATGTCTGAAATGGTGTGTCAGACCTTTAGATTTGTGTGGTATCTTTCCCAATTACACAGCTCAATATATCAACAGCAGAAGAGGAGAATGGCTTGTTCCTTTATCCTCTGATTAACGGTGTGTGCCCCGAATCATCTTCTTAGATCACTGAAATGTTCTCTATGCAGATCAATAATAACATGATGAAAACCACCAGCTGTTGCTGCACTATCCAGTGTATCTGAGTTGGGCTTATTTAACTCATTGTGAACATTTAAATATAATGATGGTTTGAAGTGCTGAGCATTTTTCTTTGTCTTGTTTAGTCATCTGTCTGTTGTGAGTCGTTTCTGGGTATAATAACCCTTTAAATTATGCTTTGAACCTTCCTAATGATTTTATGCAGTTTCTTTTTTTTTAAATACAGAGTGAATGTGGTGGGAATATTTTAATTGTGTGCTTTGATGGTCGTAAGAGAAATAGTTTTTCTGTGAGTGAACAGCAAAACTGCAAATAAAAATGAAAAGCTTTTATTTAGATTCCTGTAACTTTGTTACATTAAAAAGTGTTTTACGTTTATGAACCTATAAGGTGGCATGTATTGTGAATTTCAAATGAGTCATGGGGGTACCTCAAACCATTGCTTGTTAGGCCTCTTACAATATATTCATTCAGCGAGCTGTGAGCACCGAAGCCCACTCACCTGTGGTTCAAACCCTATGTTTGTGAGGAGCAGCCTCAGAAGAAAGTTGGTTTAAGAGAAAGGTGGATTTAAAGGATAAGGGACTAAAGAGGGATGAACTTGGAGGCGGCACCAGTGCCCAGAAAAAATTAAATAAAGATCATTTTGACCTGTGTGTTATGCAAAGCTGCTCCAGTAAAACAATAAAAATATGGAGCTGGAAATAAACATAACAGGTGTCCTTTGAAATTATTTGACATGCTCTTATGTATTAACCTGTCTTTTATTTCATTCGTTTCTTTGTTAAATCCAGAAACGAATTGAACATCCTTTTCCACATATAAAATAATCAGGTCCCATCATGCCTTAAAGACCTCATAGTACCATATCACCCCAACACAGCACTTTGCTTTCAAACTACAGACTTATTTCAGGTTCATATGGTCTTTTTGATAAAATTGAGAAACAACTCTCCATTAGTTATGCAGCATAAAGCTATGCTGTGTTTTTAACTGCAACTTCCTTTTAAAAGGCAGGTTTTCTTTTCCACTGTTGCCAAGTACTTGTTCATAAGGGGTCATCTGATTGTTAGGGTTTTCCTGTGGTAGGAACTGTTTCTAAGATTTGGTGCCAAAAGAACCTGAACTTAATAGGATTAAAAAACAAATATATTCTAACAGGGTTTCTGTAGGCTGAACTACTTCAGTCAAATTAAGTGTCGATCCTCTGTTTTTAAGGTAGTATTTCTAATATGAGCAAGCTGACTTCTATTTTAATTTCTACGTATACTTTTCTAAACCTAATGCAATGTCTTAGTTTTATTGTTCAGATTCAGCCGTGTTTTGTGTTGGGTGTAGTGTGATGCAATTAACTAGAGTAATAATAGTGATAAACATTATTTATGTAAGACCTTTAAGTCCTTTGACAAATACACAAAATTAGAAAACAAAATTTGGCTAAAACCAGCCAAATATCAAAGACACACAAAAAACGCAGTAGACAGTACAACAAAAGACACTGCATTATTGTGTAGACATGTTAAGTAAAAAAAGTGTGCTTCCATTAAAATAAACTCAACAGATAAATAAAATGACTGGTTAGTATAATATAATTCAGGCTTTAAAACAATCAGAGCGTTAAATCAACACTGTACCACACACCGATAATGACAAGCTTCATGAACACGTGAGTTTATTTTGCAGCTTGTATTTGTCTGTAAGTGCCCTCTTGAGTTGAAACCAGTGACCGGAAGTGTTCATTATCGAGTCTTGCTGCAGTGCGGACCTCCCGCGGGGCTTCACATTAAAAGCACCCACTTTGACGTCTCAAGGAACGGGAGCGTCTCGGCGTCTCTCCCTGCGGCTGCCCGTCACAAGGTTAAATATTTGCAAAGAGGCACAGGTCAGATATGTGACAGCGAGGCACATGTTTTAGACTCAAAGTTAGCTTGCTAATTGCGAGAAAAAGAGGAACACGTATCCCGGGAGAAGGTCAGCAAACCGTGTGACTTGAGCCCGCAGGGAACTTTCGCTTCTCCGTCGACTTTTCTGTGCTGCGTGTTTGTGGAAACGCCGCTTGTTTGCGCTGAAACGCAGTGGTTAGGAGGACCCACATTGAAGTTTCAATCTGGTTAACTTTCAATAACATTATAGTTTTGTTGCAACAAAAAATTGCGCAACTGTTTTTATTTATTTTTTGCCTCCTTGGTAGCGGCGGTTGTTGTTGGGTCCCGTGTGAACAGCTGACTCACGGACTGTAGGCTGGGCGGCACCGCGACATGGCGGTGTTTGAGCCCGTAGCCTACTCTTCCTCCCCTGCGGAGTAGATCAAAGGTACTCGCTGATACCCTCCTGGGGGCTGACCCTTCACCGAGTCAAGATGATCGGGTCACCGGACCTGCTGGCCTTCACCAGCACGGAAGGCTTTGGGGGAGAGGAAGACGAGCAGGAGGCTCAGGGTCTACCTGAAGAGCTCTCTGTCCCTCGCTTCCCCTCTTCTCATCCCTGGAGCACAGCAGCACAGTTTCACAGAGACTTCATATTGGTGGCTGAGTTCTCAGAGCAGGTGTGTTTGCTTCATTCAAACAAAAACTGCTGGTTTCTTACTGTGATCGCACTTGTTTTAAACGGGATCCCATGTTTTTGGGGGGTTATTTTCTGTCTATATAGTTTTAACAGGGTGGATTCTCATAAACACAAAAAAAGCTTCGAATAATGGGGTCAGTACACCTGCAGGTAATCCCCGTGTGCTTGATATAAAGGTGTATGAGGCATTGGAGAAGGGGTAGCTTTAATATGGTCATCTTATGCACAATCAGTCAATCATGGTATGAGCTGAGGGACTACATCAAGTGTAGGATAATGAAAGATTATTTTGAACTGTTATGTGAAGCTATTTTACAGTTAAATAATACAAATATGGAGCTTGTAAAGTGTCAAATGGGATACGCCAAAGTTGGACCCCCATATTTACTGATTCTCCTTCAGAAACAATAGGTGTTGAAGTATTGCAAACCCATCTGCTAAAGATTATTTTGTAAAAAAAAAAAAGTTTAAGTAGGGGAGACCGGGGATAGTTGTAACATTTTTGACATTTCTGTCTGTAAATTGGAGCTCTTTTAAGGTAGTGGATTCAAAATGTAATGCAAAGTATTTACATGTCTCTGCTATTAAATAGTGCAGCTATTTTCTCTGCAGCACAATTACCCATTGCATGGTATGGTCTCAAACACAAAGAGTGAAATGTTGCAATTAACCCCATAGTCTGGGTTAGTTGTAACATATCCTGGGGTGAAATGTAACACAATGAAATAAGGGTACTAACAAAACATTAACATGTAATCTTTGTTTATTCAACACATGAATGCACTTACATCCATTTATGTAGCTATGTGTGTGTGTGACAGAATGCAGAAATCTAGCTTTTGAACATATTATGGAATTTTCTGCAACTGAATATTTCATTAATTTTGGTTGGTCTTCCTTGAGTTTGGCCTCATTGGCTCAGTGGGCATTATAACTTACAACTCTTGCACCAATTTTGAACATAACAATGAAGCTGAAAAAATGTAGTTGTTCACCAGCATCGCAATTCCATTACTTTTTATCATGGCTTACCTTGGTGTGGTTTGCAAAGTGCTTCAGAAAGATGAGGGAATCTGTTTCTTGCACCCATCCTGATTTATTTCCACTACCAGTACTTCCTACTGGTCCATCTCTGACACAGAGGTCTGCATAATGTGGGAACACAAACAGTGGAGGAATTGTGTTGCCAATGGCATTAACCGCATATACAAATGCGACCAGTGAACCTCTCTCTGCTGATGTCGTTGCCCCAACTTGTTTAATATCAGTTAAAGTAATAGTGTGGCAAGTTGTAACATCTGCATTATTGTTACAACTAACCCAGACTGTTGCTGTTACAACTGACCCAGACTCCTATAGCCATGAACTAGCTAACATTACAGCCAACGGCTAAAACATTAGCACTAAAGACTTACACAGAATATATCCCCATAGACATACAAATAACATAATTTAAGTTTGATGAGTTTAACTGCAAAGCAGATAATGCTATCACAAATTGAAATAAAGTAGAAAAACTTACTTTTTGCCATACAAATGACTTTTTTTCATGTTAAATTGTCTGTGTTTGACAAAATGTGCTGATTTTTCACGTGTGATAGCAGAACTGAATTGGGCATGTACAGGATGAGTCACATCATTTGAAACTTAGCCCTGATTGGAGAAATTGGAAGTGTTACAACTGACCCACGTTACAACTATTCCCGGTCTCCCCTACATTTATAAATTCCCAGAAGAAAGCTAAAGACAATCCAGGCCTAGGTTTATAACCCTGCTTTATCTGCATTAAGGTGCATAGGTATTATAATAGCACGGCATCACTTGTTACACACATATAATCAGGCTGCATTCTCTACAGTGCAACCATGTTTAATCCAATACAAACAATATATTTCCTGCTGTTTTCTAGATACTTATGCATCACTGTGTTGCAGCAGATAGTGAGTTGACGTTTATTCATTCAGGAAGTCTCTTTAAGATTAAGATCTTTTTGTCAAGACAGAACTACTGAATGATTAACAGGAAATACTCTCCAAGTCAATCACACAAACAAGCCACCTCTCACATAGAGGGACGCCGAATCAAAAAGTTACAAATAATAAATTAGCAAGTGCAACTTCCCACATTGTTGCGTATCTGTAACCGGAAGGTCGCTGGTTCGATCCCCGGGCTCTCTGTCCTGGTCGTTGTGTCCTTGGGCAAGACACTTTACCCTACCGCCTACTGGTGTTGGCCAGAGGTTCTGTCAGTCTGCCCCAGGGCAGCTGTGGCTACAACCATAGCTTACCTCCACCAGTGTGTGAATGCACGAATGGATGAATAGTGGCATTGTAAAGCGCTTTGGGTGCCTTGAAAAGCGCTATATAAATCCAATCCATTATTATTGCTGGGGTTCAGTGATGAAGGATGAATAAAACACATGGCATGACATGAATACACAAAGGCAAGTAAAGACATAATATTAAAACAAAAACAACAAATGAGAAACCAGGTTTAAGCATTTATGGTAATATTAGTCTTAATTTTGTCATCATTCTTTATTTCTGAAAAAGCATAAAAATCATCTGAAAACAGCTTTCTTCTGTTTATAAGGACGCCCCTTGTAAACAAGTACATTTTAGGATGTCTGCTCCCAGCGGTATCATACAGATACACGTCCGGCAGTTTGCACCTCAGGCATGTTAAAAGTTCACGACAGTAAAATTAGAAAAAGACTCAACAAGTATTGCTTGTTTGGAAGCTTTGCCAGGAGAAAGGCTATTCTCTCTAAAGAGAACATGGCAGCAGAGCTTGTTAAGTTTGTTAGCGTTAATCTGAACAAAACGCAAGACTTCTGGGACATTTGAACAGATGAGATCAGGATGGTGATGTTTGACCATAATGCACAGCGCCATCTTTGGAGAAAACCAAACACAGGGCACCTCATACTAACTGTTAAGCACGGTGGTAGAGGGGTGGTGATTTAGGTTTGTTTCACAGCCACAGGACCTGGACTCCTTACAGTCATTGAGATGCCCATGAACTCTTCTGTATATCAAGGAATTCTAGAGTCAAATGTGAGGCTGTGTGTCTAAAAGCTAAAGCTTTGTGCAAACTGGATCGTGCAACAGGCCGATAATCCCAAGCACAGCTGCAAATCTACAACAGAACGAATAAAAAACAGAAAAAAATCAAGCTGTTTCAATGGCTCAGTCAAAGTGTGCACATCAATCGAAATCTGTGATGGGACCTTACCATAGCTATGCAGAAACAAATGCCTGAAATTCTCAATGAACTGAAGTAATGCTGCTAAGATTGGAACAAAATTCCTGCATAATGGTGTGAGGGACTGATAAAGTCATAGAGGAAATAATTACTTCATGTTATTGCTGCTAAAGACGGTTCTACAAGCTATTAAGTCATGGGGTGTGTTGAGTTTTTCTCATGACTGTGAATGGCTTTTCTGTAGACATTTTCTTCATCTTATTTAAGGCTCTAAGAACAGAGGGTGTGGTATGCTCCATATGTGGTAAAAAGCCCCTGAATCAAGTTTGTGATTTTTGGACTACCTAAATAAATCCACAAATCTAAAATTAAAGCCAGATGATTAGTGACTGATTTGATTACATCTCTACAAACCCCCTGCTCTGTGTCTCCAGGTGGGTCCATCTCCTGTGCTGACAATACCGGAGGACTCCAGAGTCCTCGGGTCATTTGACCTCAACCACTTCTCTGTTCGCATCATGTCTGTGGATTACCAAGCGTCTGGCCCCGGCCACACCCCTCCATCCTCTCCCGGCCCCCGACTCAACTTCAGCGAGGACTCCAAAGTAATCCTGGGAGATTCAGCAGAGAATGCGTTTGCATATGTTCATCACCTGACGCTGTACGACTTGGAGGCTCGGGGGATGGTGCGCCCTTTCTGCATGGCCTACGTGTGCTCGGACCAGGTGAAGCTGATGGACAACTTTTCTGAGCTATCGACACGCTTCGCTGAGGCAGCTGAAAGCCTCAAGACGGGAAACAGACAAGCATTTTCTATTGAGCTGCAGAGAAAACTACAGGAGCTCGAGTAAGAGCAGCACTTTTTACTTTGATTAAATTGGACGGTTCTGTGCAAAACTGTTTGTACTAAAATATCCAAGCCACTTACTTCTAAATATCTTTAATTTGAGCAGATTAAGAGCGTAAATTGGAAGGAATAATGAAGACGGCCTGAAGAGAGTGAAAATGCTTCAATTTCTATCTCAGTGGTGAAAAGGGGAAGCTGTTAAAGAGGAAGCAGTCACAAGCTCAAGCATCACTTCATTTATCAAAAAGGATGCTTCTTATTTTTCAGATCCTCCTGTGTGGCCTCTTGTTTATTTGGCACAGCTGCATTTAGTGATAATTTCACTGTAACTTTGAATTTCTAGCCTCAAGCCTAAGCCTAACCTGAAAGAGGAAGGAGCTGGATACCACCTTCCACTAGTAATGACTTGTAATGTGCAGGGTTGGTTAGCAGGTCTAACATTAGGCCCCGCCTTCCTTGATAACCTTTTGCTAACTTTAACCTTCTTTTTGTTAAAAGAACTGCATCCCCCAGCTAAAAATCAAATGGATTTTTAATGTAGGATCTTTTACTTTTACACAAATCCACTCACTTGCTTATAACACAGCTCTTCAGTCATCAAATCTCAGGGATGCTTTTATGTTTTAAAAAACATGTATAAACCCACATAAGTGTGTATTCAGAAATGTAGACTCAGAAGTATCTTGGGCATGGTTGTCATGGTAATTTTGAACTTTTAATGGTTTCTTTGAACTGTTCTTTTTTTCAGGGTGGATGATTGTACAGCAAAAATATCTAATGACTTTAAAAAACAAAATTCAGCTGCGCAAACTTGAATTTATTTTGGACTTTTGATAATCTCTGATACAAACAGATTCAAGCACCCCACTTGAAAGCCAGTGGGGTGCTTGAAACAGAAGATTATTTTGGCTAAGATTGTGGCTCGTCTTCTCAAGAAATTTAGCTTTTCCCAGAAGTTTGTAGTTCATGGCAGCCTTGAAACTGTGACACCACTGTTAGTTAATTAAGGGCTGCTCACCACATGTTACTGCCTGTGTTTCAGGTACAGGCGGCTGACCCTTCGTAAGGACGCAGAACGTCAGACAACGGTAAATGTGTTGACAGAATCTGAAGGAGAAAGTGAAGAGCTCGAAGCTGTGGAGCGTTCAGTCTTAAATCACAGAGAGCTCCTTCGTCAGGTCGCATCTTACCCAAACAGGAAGCTCAAACAGCCCGACTTCTTGCCCTATGACCCAGCCACCTCTCTCACGGATCCATTGCTGTTGCCACCTTTTGAGCCATGCTTCTCGTTCTCCACCCCCTCCTGCAAGTCAGAGCACCACCTGAAGCCACTGGAGGAGCTTTGCAACGAATACTACCTGTCTCTTACGAAGGACCGGCTCAAAGACACAGAGCGACGTCTCCGTGGTGACAGAAGTGTCCTGCGAACTACTTATGCCACACAATCATTGTCCAGGAGACTAACACTCACCAACTTCCTGTTTGAGCTATGGAGCCCGGACGATGCTGATGAAGAGGGCACTGAGGTGGAGCTGCCGAAGGACATGGGGAGTAAGAGGACTGGCGGGGCGTTTCAGCCAGAACCACCAAGCATGGAGTCGTTCTTCTCCTGTGTGGAGGAGATCCCAATCAAACTGGAGGCAGCAGAAGCACATACACTGACCCCTGGTCCTGGTCCTGGCACAGAGATGACGGGGAGTGTAAGCAGCAGTGACAGCATCGAAGTGCTCGGAACTGAGAAGTCGTACATGACGCAGCATGTCGCCGACAGCAGAGGTACGGCAGTGCGGAAACATTTCTCAAATAAATGTTTGGCGGATTGGGTATTTTTGTTAGTCAATTCATATAAGAACAAAAATAACAAATAGTGTCTGGTTGTTGATCAAGAGTGCCAAATATATCAGAACCGGCCCACCCAAAGGTCTAATCGGGTCCACTGGGTGGCTTTCAATAAACTCTGACATGTTTGATTTTGTCTTATATTAATTAAATACCACAGGGACTCAGTTTGAACATTTGATCCTCTGCTCCTGTGTGGATGTCTGGGATTTAAGCAACAAATGATGGTTTAAAGAAATATCAATGAAAAAAAGTCTTTCGGCTTTTCATTACATATCTAGTGAGATTAAATGCTTATTTTAAAATAAAAAAATGAAACAAAAACCTTTCTCTTCCACAGACACACCAGTCGGAATGACAGAGAGTTGCAGCAGGCGTGCAGCAGTAGACACTGGCATCAGACACCCGCGAGCTTATGCAAAGCGTGCCAACAGCGAGGACAGCATTGAAGTGCTCAGCACCACAGAATCCATCCTTACCGAAGACCTCACCGCCATCACAGAGGAGGAAGCAGAGCTGCAGCCTCTTAGCAACGGCTTTGAGAATGAAGAACTACTACAGATGGTGGATAAGTCTTACAAAGTCCTCCAAGAAGAAGAGACACTGAATGCACCTGCTGCAGTAGGCGAGGATGAAAATGATGGGCCTGATGAGGAAGATCAGTGTTGCGTTGAAAGTGAAGAGCCTTTGGAGCAAACAATGGTTACTGATGACATCATGATCAAAGAGCAGCCAGGCGCCATAAAGATGAATCAGTTTCGCAAAGACAACAGTGAAGAGAAGACCTCCAAACTACTGCAAGGTAACACGTTGTGCAACTATTCATTTCTCAAGCTCTCGTTATTACATCCATGCTATAAAACTATGAAAAACATATATTCACTTTGTCGGTATGGTTTTTATCCGTTTTAAATAAAATCTGCAGCAACACAGAAATTAATGAGAAGCTATTTTAAAAATGTGGAAAATATGCATTTGTAATCGTGGCTTAGTGCAAATTTAGTTGGGTTTTTTTTTTTCTTCTGACATAATTTAAAATTATAACAGCTGATCATTTAATAAAGCGCTTAACTGCTAGGGAAAGTAGCTGATTACTGTAGTTTTTTTTTAAAACATATAAAATATTGTTATTACTCCACAGCTGACGAAGCGATGAAGCCCTCACCTGAGGTTCACCAGAAGGTGCTGCTGATGCCCCAGGACAATGCGAACTTTGCACCTGGTTCCTACATGGCCGAGGTGGATCGTTGGTCTTCCCCCCGCCCTCCCCTGAGGCTGCTGAGTGTTGATGAGGAGTCAACACTCAGCAGCATCAGTTTCACTGAATCTTCAGAGCCCCCATCCCCCATTCAAAATATCCACAGCAACATCTGCTGGGATAAGAGGAGGAGGAGAAAGGCTGGACTCAGAGCCCTCAGGTTTATCAAGCACAACTCGTTCTCCCAGCATGCAGTGTTCTGTCTCCTGAGTGGCCGGCCACTGGTTGTCATCGGAGGAGATGAGAACCTAGTCAGGAAGACGGTGGATGCTCTGACCCTCTTCCTGCCTGCTCCGGGTCCTCATAGAAGTGCTGTGAAGATGTGTTTGACCACGCCCCTTCAGCTGACTGACCTGGTCACCTGGAGACTGATGGGAGTGTACAGGTGAGGGCTATCTGCCATCCTGCTGTTTTGTTTGTTTATTTTTATGCATTTATTTTTGAGTTGGCAGTAAATATTTCGGTAACAGGGTGGCTAGTGGCTAATGCTAGGTTACTGGTCAGCACTAACCAGATACCTGCTAACGTATAAATAAAATAATATTTCACTCGCCAAAACCAGAGTACAGACTTGTTAAAATACATTACAAGTCCTGCTTTTTTTGTTTCGTAACTTCATTAAGGTAATTAAAAGTCAGCAACCTCATACCGATGAGATGTCCAGTTCATTGAGCTAAGGTTAGAGCTAGCAGGCAGCTATGGCTTATATCCACTAGCCCTCAAATTGGCCAAACCATTAATAATGCATGACTTTAAACCAAATACAGTTTAACTGGAGATCTTATAGAGAAATTTAAAAAGTATGACCCTCCCTACAGTTGTAATGAGCGAGGAGGGGACATTAGCCAAAAAGTTTTTGTCCCAGACTGTAAACATGTTTGTCTGCTGTCAAGTTGGGTGCTTTAACTGTATATAAACGCTTTTAATCAGGTGGCCATTTAAGGCGAATGACTGCAGTTATTGGTCAGACCTGGAAACATTAAGTTCTGTCACCACCTTTACAAACTGAGCAGCTGAGGTTTATGCTTTTCATTGTTTACTTGCTAAGTTTATGGGTCTAGGTAGCTTCAAGTTGATCCGAAATGACAGTAAACTGACATGTGTAGAAGGCTACAGCTTATTTCTTTTTTTCTTCAGCTTCAGGTCATAAATGAAATTTATTAATGTCACATCCATGTCATGGTTTCTTGCACCAGATCATCCTCAGCTTCTTTTTCCACCATCCTTCCTTCTCTGAGTCGCTACAGTCGTTATGTGGCTCTGCTGGACCTCGACCAGAGGACGCTGCGGTGCCCGTCTTACTCTGGTTCTCTTCTCAGCAGACTGGCCAATCCTCACACTGGTATCACCCGGGGCATCACCTACCTGCAGCATCTGGAGAGCTGCCTTGCTGCGCTGGTCAATCACGTACTGGTGCACACTTTTATACCTCTTTTTAAAAATCTATGCGTTGCTAAAGAGAAGGGTAACACAGAAGAGGATTCCTGGTGTGAACGAGGTGTGAGCGAATGTGATTTGAGAGTGATGAGCTATCTGTCTCATCTCATTAAACAGCGGTATGCGGGACGTGGACCTCCAGTGTTAAGATTTGCTTACAGCTCAGTGCAAATGCACAGAAACACAATGACATCATAGGCGTCCAGACGGAGAAAAAGAAACCCTGAATGTTTAGATGTTTCTCTAATTTTTAGGTTTGATCAACTGCTGCTGTGAACATTTCGGTACAAAAAAAATGTTTTTATGTGCAGTGTTAAATATAGATTTAGGTCACATCGTTGCACTAGTGCCTCACTTGGCACCAAAACCCTTCCACATGCTGGCAGCCTTATCACTTAATGACACATGAACTTGTAATTTAAGAAAACTGAGCCTTATCTGAACACTGTGCAATGTAAGCAAGCCTGTAACCTCTAGAGTACTGTTTACTATAGAGTACAGCAGGACATCCACATGACATGTAGGTCCATTACATCATTACTTTGTAAAAACCTGTCACCCTGCCTTTAGCATGTCTGATAGTCACAAATAACTGGCAGCCTATAATTATTCTACGACTATTAATGACAATGCGGCCCATGCAGTAAACCTGCAGGTCTGTTGGATGTCAATGGGTTCTTGCTAAAGGTTAAACAGAAAGATCAGTACCATTTTGTTTGAACAGACAGGTAGTGCATTACATTGAATCACCCATCACCAAAATCTCAAGTGAAGCATTGGTGGAGAAGTGTGCACTGTTTTGTAAAAGCTGTGTGTGGTGTAAAGGTATGTGTACTTTTAAAGCACTTTACAACTGAGTACTCGGGTGCTTTTTACTGCAAGCCTCATTCAAACAAGCGCATTTTTCTATACTGGAGCCTTGTCACACAATTGCACAAACACTGAGGGATGCAGCAGGGGCAAATGTTTAGTATCTTGCCCAAGGATATTTGATGTGCAGGCTGGAGAAGCCAGGGAGTGAACTGATCACTAATGTTTCTTGGCTGAATTGATAATGGATTTATAGTGTTGGCATTATTATGCCAAAATGGTTAGCTTGCATGAACACCAGATAATTACCTGTTTTTATCCCTCGATTATGAATTTGTAGGATTTTTTTTTTTCCTTTTTCAAATTAAGCAGAAACAGTCCATAGCACTTACAAATTTGTTTTGTTTTTTTTCTTTGTTTTTTTTAAATTGATATGGTTCAGGTACCTCTTTTCCACTGTGGGCGCAGATTCAATTCTGCACCAGGAACCACGGATTTCCTTAGAATTAAAAAAAAAAATAACGTTTTTGTAAAAAAATCCTTACTTTTGTCTATAAAAGTACACATTACACCATCAGTTACTGTGGTAACTAGAACTCCATAAAAGCCCGTTAATCCAACCGGGATTTTTTTTTTTTTTTTGTATACAGCACACGATTTGAAACAATAAAGTGCCTTTATAAAATGACAGAGCAACAACATCCTTCTCTCTGACACTTGTACTGTTGTTTATCTTGCTGTGGAGACAATAAAATCATTTTGTATTCAAGCAGCGATTCAGCAATCTAATGCATAAAACTGTCTTTTTATTTATAACTGTAACATTAACATTTTACGAACATTAAAAAGGTGAATCAATATCAAGTCTCTTGTCATCAGATGGTGAGTAGTAGGGTTGATCTGATATCCTCGTGTTGGTGTTGTTCCCAGACCATCATGAAAATGTTGTTCCAGGATCAACATTGCAAGTGACCAATCAGAATGTTGTCACGTCATACTTTTGCGACTTCGGGAAAAAACAGCGTAAAACAAAAAACTGTACTTAAGCTGCGTGAAACCGCCTCTGTCCGCCGATCAACGGACCCTGACCGTAACCCTTTAATAAACAGTAAGCAGAATTGATATTGTCCTTGCAACATTGGAATTTCATAAATGCACGAATGGCTTGGCGCGCAAAAGAATAACGTCACAACAATGTGATTGGTCACTTGCAATGTTGAACCTGGAACAACATTTTCACGATGGTCTGGGAACAACACCAACACGAGGATATCAGATCATCCGAGTAGTAGTGCCAGTGTGGGCGCAGCTGCACCAGGAACCACGGATTTCCTTAGAATTAAAAAATTATAACGTTTTTGTAAAAAAATCCTTACGTCTATAAAAGTACACATTACACCATCAGTTACTGTGGTAACTAGAACTCCATAAAAGCCCGTTAATCCAACAGTTTGTTTTTTGTATACAGCACACGATTTGAAACAAAGTGCCGTTATAAAATGACAGAGCAACAACATCCTTCTCTCTGACACTTGTACTGTTGTTTATCTTGCTGTGGAGACAATAAAATCATTTTATATTCAAGCAGCGATTCAAGCAGCGATTCAGCAATCTAATGCATAAAACTGTCTTTTTATTTATAACTGTAACATTAACATTTATGAACATTAAAAAGGTGAATCAATATCAAGTCTCTTGTCATCAGATGGTGAATAACAGAAGTATGTGCATTGTACCAACATGAGCTGGTGTGAGGACGCAGGTACAGTCGGGCATCTGTAAGACGCTGGCGACTCTCCGCAGTATTTAAACCTTTGTGGAAGGCAACAGTGCTGTAAACAGTGTTTAAGACTTCTGTAGCTCTGCAGGGGGTAAGTATGTGCAATCAGGATGCACTGGAACAAGAAGAAAAGTAATGACAATGAGATTCAGTCAGACACACGTGCAGTGCTGAAATTATCACATGGCTGTTAGAATTTAAAAAAAAAAAAAAAAAAAAAAAAAAAAATCCTTTATCAGACAATATTTCATAGTTAAAAAGTCCTTGCTTGTCCCACTTGTGCTGAGGTAATGTATGAGTCGGCATAAATATGTAGCTCTAACGCTTTTAAAGCCTCTCTTCCCTCCGTCGCAGACACTTAACGCACCTGCTGCATCCACAAAGCAACTTGCATTGTGGAGGAACCGCACACACACTCTTCACCCTGCTGCCTTCTGGCAAGAGGTACTGGAGTATTCAGGCCCTCACTGCCAGACTGTGAGACAGTTTCTTCCCAAGCTGTTAGACTCCTGAACACTCAGTAACTGGACTGACACACATGCATACCTTCATACACGTCAATACCAAGCACTTATCTGCAGAATCACACACATTCATACACCAAGTTACTTTTTGCACATTTCTATTGCACTGTTGTGTCTGTATCGTTCTGTCTCTTGTTGCACTGTCTTTGTTTTTGCACACTGCACTTTATGTAGTCCTGTGTTGATTATCTGTTCTATGTCATATGTAGCACCACGGTCTTGGAGGAACGTTGTCTCGTCTCATTGAGTACTGCACATGGTTGGAATGACAATAAAGCCACTTGACATCACACTCCATTTTTATATTTACATTTAACGCACACAAACTTTTTTGGGGAACTGGGATTGTATTAAATCAAAGCTTTTCTGTTTCTGGAAGTTAATTTGATTAGCTAAAGGATGCTGAGATTTGTAGTGGTTTATCTCAAGACTTGTTCACATACCTGCTGTTTTCCCTCTCCTGTGCAATCGCCTGAAAGAATCTTTTCAGATGTTCTTCACTGGAGGAAAAACTTTCACAAAGCCACCTAAAGGCCCATGAATTCTCCTGCAACACAAGAAAGCTGATTAAACAACAAACAACAGCACAGCCCCCGAGAATTCAAAGTGTGAAATTATAGAATCTTTTCAGTCAATAGTGACCCCAAACAAACAGACAAAGCATACAATTTTAAAGTTGTGGTGTCATATGTTTAACTGCGAGTAACACTCTCACCTAAGAGAAAGCATCCTGCATCCTAAGTGTGAAAATGTCAGAAGAAAGACTTCTGTGAACAGCTGGAAACTACACACTAAACTCCAGCTGCTTTTATTAATTTGGAGAGTTATTTATCCATTACTGGTGTGTTAATCTGACCTGTCACAGGTGGTTTCCATCACAGATGAGACTTGAGTGAAGAGCTGGATCTTAAACATTTCTTTAGAGAGCAGCTACAAAATTGTAGATCAAAGTAAGAGTACTGACAGGGACTAGAAAGAGAGAGCATATTTCTCCTGTTTTGGCTTCCCTTCATTGGCTTCCTGTTAAATCCAGAATTGAATTCAAAATCCTGCTCCTCACATACAAGGTCTTAAATAATCAGGCCCCATCTTAACTTAATGACCTTGTAGTACCATATCACCCTATTAGAGCACTTCACTCTCGCTCTGCAGGCCTACTTGTTGTTCCTAGAGTATTTAAAAGTAGAATGGGAGGGAGAGCCTTCAGTTTTCAGGCCCCTCTTCTGTGGAACCAGCTTCCAGTTTGGATTCGGGAGACAGAATTAACTGAGGGAAAACAGTGTGTGGTTCCAATAGCCGAAGACATGTGGATTTTATGACTCTTCCACAGTGTGTCTTTTGTTTTGTTCCCCCCCCCCCCCCAAGTCTTAAAAGGTAGGTTTTCCTCCCCACTGTTACCAGTTGGTTGGGTCATCTGTATTACCTTCCAATAAATCATAGCAGGAGGTGACTATTCCTGTGATTTGGTGCTATATAAATAAAAAATGACCTGTAATCAATTTGAGAAGAGTGAGGCTGAGAGTGATTCTCTAAAACAAGCTTTTCCATGTTTCTTTATACTGTACTTGTCTTATTTGTTATGCACGTCTGTTGTTTTGTAATTTGAGGGGGGGGGGAAGGAAAAAAAGGAAGGCCATCCAGTGCCAAATGAAAAGATGCAGATCCATCCGCTGTGGCGACGCCTTGGGAAATAAGGGAGCCGCGAAAAGTACCTTTAATTATTTCTTTAGCGAGACAAAGATGCAAGAGACACTCAAACTGTCATAGTTACACAAAATTATAGCACCGTTATTGTTGCGTGTGCCAATAGAGCCCTTTACATGATATAGCTTAAGTATGTGAAAGCACAGACAGTGGCGTGGCGTCTATGGAAGGAAAGCAAGAGTTGGCTACCTGAAAGGTGTTGAGCACAGGTAGGATCGGATACAAAACGGAATCGAGGATTCTTTGGCTCAAAGCTTCCGTCACCAACAGGAGCAAGGCCTGATCTGGATACACCTGCGAACACATTGGACTGTTTAGTTCTCGCAAATTCTAAACACTGAAGTGTAAGTGTTAATGCACTGACCTCATGCAAGGATCGTGGGATCTGCATATTGGAGCCCTTCTGATCAAGCAATATCCCTTTCACAACATCCCGCGCTTCCTTCATCATTCAGACATCGAGGAGACAAAATACAGAATGAAACAAAGCAGAGAAACATGGAGAAAGCTGCAAGTCTAACTCTAACAATCAAGAAGTACACACCTGCAGAAACTGCATACTGGGCATGGGTAAAGCAGTGAGTGAACCGCAAGGCTTGTTGACAATCGAGAGCAAACTGGTCCAACACCGAGACTGGATCAGAGGAGTATTAGACATGCAGTCAGACATGGGACATACTAGTCAAGGTTTTAACAAGTATAAAATGTACCTAAACCAAGAAATAAAGATGGCAGATATCTAGAGACAAAAACATTTTTCAGACTTGAATGAGGAGCTTTTAACTTACATCAGCATATACAGCACTGCAGCATCCCTGAGCCCTGAGAGCAAACCTCACCAGCTCATGACGTTTCAGCGGCACAGCATCTACACACAGAGGAATCAGATTTATTATCAATCCTTGTTTTATACTAAATCTTATCCTGAAGCTACGTTTACACTGCAAACCTCATTGCTTCATTTGGATATTTTGCGTTGATTTTTTTTGTTGAACTGTTCATATTAATGATGCAATTGTGTGGCCAAAATCAGATTCCCATGTGACCTGATTCATATGCTCTTGTTACTGTTCTTACAGCAACAAAGACTTCTCACACAGGAGGCGGTCATACAGAAGCAAGCACAGAGGTCACAGTTAGTATAACTTTAAAGGGCTGTAGCTGCAATCACATGACATTATTGTGCATGTGACATCTCTATTGAGGTGTATGTGGATGCACAGTTGAAGCGGGAATGTGGTGGAGTGATGACATGAATGGCTTCAGTAATGCACTTTCAACTGAAAATTTCGTGATAATTACAGTAACACTAAGAAAAATCAGACACAAGCACAAACTGACTTGGGTCACTTCTGAACTTGGTACAAACCCACCCCCCCCCAAAAAAAACAAAACATCTCTGCTGGACCTTCAATAGACTCCCACGCTGCACCAGCACAGCAGAGCTCTCCCGGTTTACTGACTGGTGTCAGCTTTGGTGCAGTCGCTGTTTCAAAGACTTTGAGATAAAAGAGGAAGAGGTCCGGAGTAAAGTGGGAAGCGGGAGCATTCACCGAGGGGAACAAACTTGTGAGAGCTGATGAAAAGTCTCCAGCCATGCACATGAAGTAGGGGATGAGGTCTTGTATCTGCTGATACCTGACAGAGAAACAAATCCAATGCAGCAAGTCAGCAACATGTCACTGCTGGTGTCTAAATATTTAAACGTTTGATTTGAGATTTTAGTTTCTCTATAGATGGTAACTGCAGATTGACAGTCATTTCTGAACCTATATTTAACGAATTAATGAACTCCAGATGGGGTTTTAAACTATGAAATATGGAAGAGCTACAGTTTTCCCCTTTTTCAATT